TCAATTTTTTTCATAATTTTGTATGTTTGATTTATAAATTAAATAATTAATTTTTAATTGGACAGAGTATATATCTATGGGTTCCAGGCTCGATATTTGAGGCCCAGTAGCTCCAAGCTATCCTGAATTCTTATGTGTATCAATTTCAATATTTTTATAATTTTGTGTGTTTGTTTTGTAAATTAAGTAATTGATTTTTAATTGGACAGCGTGTATATATATATATATTATATATATGGGTTCCAGGCTCTATATTTGAGGCCTAGTAGCACCAAGCTATCCTAAATTCTTATGTGTGTCAATTTCAATTTTTTTCATAATTTTGTGTGTTTGTTTTGTAAATTAAATAATTAATTTTTAATTGGACAGTGTATATATCTATGGGTTCCAGGCTCGATATTTGAGGCCCAGTAGCACCAAGCTTTCCTGAATTTTTATGTGTATCAATTTCAATATTTTTATAATTTTGTGTGTTTGTTTTGTATATTAAATAATTAATTTTTAATTGGACAGTGTATATATCTATGGGTTCCAGGCTCGATATTTGAGGCCCAGTAGCACCAAGCTATCTTGAATTCTTATGTGTGTCAATTTTAATATTTTCATAATTTTGTGTGTTTATTTTGTAAATTAAATAATCAATTTTTAATTGGACAGCGTATATATCTATGGATTCCGGGCTCGATATTTGAGGCCTAGTAGCACACTATTCTGAATTCTTATGTGTGTCAATTTTAATATTTTTATAATTTTGTGTTTTTTGTTTTATAAATTAAATAATTAATTTTTATAAATTATAATTGGATAGAGTATATACCTATGGGTCCCAGGCTCGATATTTGAGGCACAGTAGCACCAAGCTATCCTGAATTCTTATATATGTCAATTTTAATATTTTTATAATTTTTTTATAAATTAAATAATTAATTTTTGTAAATTGTAATTGGACAGAGTTTTTGTTTGATCTATCAATATAGTAGATACTTAAACTACAGTTATTCTACGCTAAAAGGCTCTACATTTTACTACGCTAAAAGACTATACATTTTACTTTGCTAAAAGGGCACTAGTCTTTAAGCAAATAAATAATCTAAACTAAATAAAAACAACAAATATATTTTTGTAACATAACATTCATGAAATTACATATAAAACAGTAAAAGGAATTTATGAATATTTTTATTAACAAAAACAATAATTTGTCAACTTTTAAATATTCTTTTAAAACACTAATATCTTCATCCGGATAAAAATAACATACTAGTTTAATCGCAAACAAAACACAAAACAACATGGAAACACATTCAAGACAACTAATATGCATTATTATACGAGTTTCAACATAAACTAAATAGGAATACCTCGATTTATGTTTTTAGAAAAGTCAATAAATTGAATTTTTGAGTCCGAAACGAGGAAACCACAACAATAGAAGCCTTGGGTAGGATGTGGGGCCTATAATCTTATCTTTTTGAGTGATGGGTGGGGTCCACTCGAATTTATTTTGGAGAAAAAAAGGGGGGACCGCTGGTTTTGTTTTTTAAAAAATGGGGGAAGGGGTCTGTTTCTGTCGTTGGGGGAAGAAGAAGGAGGTTTTAATGAACAGGTATAGCGCGGTATTATAATGCGCTATATATAACGCGGCATTATACCGCACTATACTTTAACGGCAGAAACACCGTTAAAGTATAGCGCGGTATAATACCGTGGTATATATAGAAAAGTAACTTTTTTTAGGCAGTAGAAACGTATTTTGAGTCCAAAACCACAATATTTAGGTTTTGGACTCGCTAGAGCCCTAAGGTTTCAAGCTCATGTACCATTAAAATTCTGGGAGGGGGGGGATGTGTACTAACTGCAGCCTTTCTTATTAACAGACTGCCATCTTCAGTCCTATCTGGGAAATCTCCTTATGAGGTTTTTCATGGACATCCTCCCTCACTTGACATCATTAGAGTTTTTGGATGTCTTTGTTATGCAACCACCTTACACAACACTGACAAGTTCTCACAAAGAGCAATACCTGCTATCTTCATGGGTTATTGAACTTCTCAAAAGGGTTATAGATTATACAGCATCGTCACTGGCACTTTCTTTGTCAGTAGGGATGTTTCTGTCAGAGAAACAGTGTTTCCATTTAAGTATCCTAAATCCACCTTCCTTCATACTCTATCTTCAAGATCATCACCTACATTTCCTATAAGTGCTCCAACTTTCCCTTGTGATGATTATTTTCCTGCTTCTATGGATCTCTTACCACCTGCAACTCTAAACTCTGATTCTCCTTCAACTACTTCTGAACATCCCTTATCTCCATCTACCTCCTTTCCTATGTCCTCTCCACTTACTCATCTTCATCTACCTCTCATATTCCTTCTCCTACTCCAGCATCCTCTCATATCCTGTCTGATCCTCCTCCAATCTTATCTTCAGCTCCACAACACCGGGATCTGCCTCCTACTCCTGCAGCTCCTTTAAGGAAGTCTGGAAGGCCATCTAAACCACCCTTGTGGCTTACAGACTTTGTCCATCAAGTCAAACCTTCATCCTCCTCTCCTTATTCCATCACTGATTCCATTAATTGCTCTTCCTTATCCTCTTCTTATCAAACCTGTTTGTCTTCCTATTCATTCATCATTGAACCAACCTCTTTTGATCAAGCTGTCATTGACAGCAATTGGGTTCAAGCTATGAAACTTGAGGTTCAAGCAGTCACAGACAATAATACGTGGGAGTAGTGACTTTGCCTGCAAGGAAGTCTCCCATAGGTTATAAGTGGGTTTACAAGGTCAAGTACAAAGCTGATGGATCTATAGAGAGGTATAAAGCCAGGTTAGTGGCTAAGGGGTTTACTCAGCAGGAGGGTCTGGATTATCATGAGACCTTTTCCGCTGTAGTTAAAATGGTCACAGTCAGGAGTGTGGTTGCCTTGGCTGCTTAGTATGCTTGGCCCTTGTTCCAGATGGATGCTTATAATGCATTCCTCCAAGATGATCTTTCAGAGGAGGTCTACATGTCTTTACCACAGGGCTTTGGTAGTCAGGGGGAGACTAGAGTGTGTAGACTACTCAAGTCCCTGTATGGTCTGAAGCAGGCCAGCAGGCAATGGAACCTGAAGCTGACTTCAGCCCTTGTACACTCTGGTTTTAGCCAAAGCAAACTGGACTATTCCTTATTTACCAAAAGGAATGGTAGGGATATAGTAATCATATTAGTATATGTAGATGATCTCCTAGTTACAGGAAGTGACAATGATATAATACAAGATGCCAAAAGGATTCTGAATGGTAACTTCAAGATGAAAGATTTAGGAGAGCTCAAATTTTTTCTTGGTATTGAGTTTGCAAGATCACACAAAGGCATTTTTATGAATCAAAGGAAATATGCCTTAGAGCTTATCTCAGAATGTGGCTTAGGGGGAGCATGACCAGTTAGATTTCCACTGGATCAAAATGTGAAGCTAACTAGTGTGGAATACGACAAATTATTTGGGATACAGGAGAATGATCATGAACTTGAAGACACAAGAGTATACCAGAGGTTAATTGGCAGATTTCTATATCTGGCAATCACAACACCAGATATCTGTTTTGCAGTTCAAACTCTAAGTCAATTCATGAATGCACAAAAGTTCTCACTATGAAGCAGCCCTAAGAGTAGTAAAATATGTGAAAAACAGCTTAGGGAAAGGTCTGCTGATGAATAGCAAACAGAGTGGCAAGGTTATGGCATTTTGTGATGCTGACTGGGCATCATGCCCAGTAACCAGAAAATTAGTAACAGGCTATTGCATAAAACTTAGATATTCATTGATTTCCTGAAAATCCAAGAAGCAGAGTACAATTTCAAGAAGCTCAGCAGAAGCAGAATACAGGAGTATGACCGCAACTGTAGCAGAATTGGTATGGTTACAAGGATTACTTGAAGAGATAGGTATGAAGGTTGATTTGCCCATGGAGTTATACCGTGACAATAAAGCAGCACTGCAGATTGCATCTAATCCTATGTATCATGAACGTACAAAGCATATAGAAATTGACTGTCATTTTATTAGAGAAAAGTTGCAAGCAGGAATGATAAAAACAGCTCATGTGCCCAGTAAGGAGCAGATAGCAGACATATTGACAAAGGCACTTGGGAAGCAGTTGCACAGTGAAATGATTAGCAAGTTGGGTATGATAAATATTTTTCATCACCCAACTTGAGGGGGAGTGTTGAAATCAACATGTGTAGTATAAAGTTGTACATAAACAATGATATTTGTACATAGTTAATTAGTACTAGTTTAGCACTAACAGTTAGTTATATGTATTTTTAGAGGAAGTTAGAATATGGGTTATATATGTAAGGGTTACACACGAGTACATTGAGAGGTAATAACAGAGTAAAAATTCTCCAAAACTTTCCTTCTTCTTTCTCTCTTCTCTTTCTCTCTTAGCTCAAAGAACAGATCTTATTCTCCTTTCAATAAGAATCTTTTTTTTGTCCACTCCAATTTTTGTACTTACAAATTCTTTTATTTAAAGATCCATTTTGCCTCTAGAGACTGTTATGTAATATATTTCAGTTTACGTGTCAAAACTTTTTTTTTATTCTTTTTGACACAATGCCTAGTAAGACATCATCATATGAAACAAAGAAAGAATAGTAGAGAAAATTTGTTTTCCTCACGGAATGGCAGTTGCACTTATCATAATCATAATACTATGTCTTACATTTCAGATAATTCAGATAATTTTCAGCATCCATAAGGTCTTACATTTCAGGCTGCGATTCTTCATCTATATATCATTGGTACCTAGTCTAGATTCTCTAAAACCTAACACAACTAGTAAAGGAGCAGGAGAAATAACTTAAAAAAGTAACCAAGAAGTTCCAGTAATATGGAGTTCAAGCACATATATAGTTAAAGAAGCAGAAACAATTCCATCCATATAGTTTTTCTTTCATATGAATTATCATTCAAACAACCTAGCTTCAATTTGAATCACAATGTCAAGTGATTTCCAAACTACTGCTGTTCAATTGCACATTTCTCACTCTCGTAATTTTTCAAGAACAATACGTACATCAACATCATTTGGACATTAATTTGAAATATAAAGTAAAACCTTAAACCACCATAGTCCGACCTAAAGATAGAAGCCGTTAGTAAGATTAACACACTTGTATCCTCAAAATGAATAGTACAATCTATGCTAAAATTCACAAATTGTTGCTAGCTTGTTACAGACTTTCAAAATCATAAAAATTAAACCGGAAATAGCAACTGTACAATTTTCTACTATACTCAACATTATCACCCTCTTCCTCTGGCTAATTGTTAACCGTATGAATCAATGGAAAACTGCTTTAGATACTAATCAAGGCTGTATAATTTCTTCAGGGTTCAAATTAAAGTCTCTACCAATGATATGCAGGAAAAAAGGAGAAATCAAATGGTAAGGTTTTCTTGAATTGCAACGAAGGATCCTATTATGTTTCCACCAACATCTGGGAAATTTGGACATCCAGGAAGATTCTTCACCTTACCTTTGCGATCAACTTCAACAGGGTATTTTAAGAGGTGCCCTCTCATTTCTGTTACTTCATCAGCTGCAAATTGCTTCCAGTTAAATTCACCCATGGACCTGACCCGTCTTACACATTCTAACGACTCCGGCTGTGTGAAGCAGTCCTCAACAACTCCAAGATGCTCAGCCCACAGAGACATTCTATATCCAAATATCTGCAGAAGAAGACACACACATATAAAATATTTGTAAGTACACACACACACACACACACACACACATATATATATATATATATATATATATATATATATATATATATATATATATATATATATATTCTTTAAGTTTCCTATATACATCTATATAACCTAGGTCAGAGACTCTGAATGCAAGTGCAACCGCTGCTTATATGCTTATAATCCGCCTTGAGGTATTTTGATCAAAATAGGGAAACACAGAGACGTTATCTTGCAAATACTCCTAGTAGTATGTAATTACGTTTTCTGGAGCATAAATATTACAGTAAAACAAAAACTAACTCAAGGTCAAACGCAAAATAAGAAAATGTAGGAGAGATGGAGCGGCTTAAGTTTTATTCCACTTGTTAAAAGCAAAGCAAAAGAAATGTCCCAAAGCTCGCGTAAAGAATCACTAGAAGTTATATGTTTTGGTTTCAGTTTGATATTGGGCAGCAAACATGAGCATTGTACAGAAAACTAGATTATTTAATTAGCAACATAACCTTTGCACTATATAAGGAGACTGAGCGAGAATAGAAAAGAAATATTTTATACAAGAATTACACAATTGGTGAATGAAGTTAAAAAACTCATGATCAAAATCTTTAAAGGAGCTTCAACAGTTGGTTGTCCTAAAATAGTCTTGTTCTACAAAGGCACAAAACAACAGAGTCAAAAGTGAGATTAGACGAGATTGTGGTTCATGAATACAGATTCAGATATTTAAGCTCAATATCTTCAAGAGAATGACATATTAGATTAATATGTAGCACATAATCAAATAGAATAGGTGAAAGGGGAAAATGCTGTAGGAGTGCTATGCGATAGAAAGAACCTAACAAAGTAAAAAACAAATTTTACATACAGTTACGGACTAGATGAGTGCCGTAGAAATGAGGATCTTAAAATGGATGAGCTATAAGACTAGACAAAATTAAATGCTCACATCCGACACAGGATGCAAGTAACAAACACAGAGAGTATCACAAGAGAAAGTCGCTTGAGAACGACGAATCTGGTTTCAAGAGCATATCTTACTCTAATAGGGGGTAAAGACTTTCTGAGTGAAGGAAAGCCCAACTATATATGTAATATCTTAGCTGCCAACAAGGCAAGTGCCTTATTAAGCCTACCTGCTCAGGAGCAAGTGTTGAAAGAAAATATAGAAGAATTCAACAATACTACCCCCCCCCCCCCCCCTCCTCCTGATTTATACATTCTTAATGGTTGGTAGGTTGTCCAGGATACTTAGATGGTTTTGTTATGCCTTAGATCTCCAAATGCACAGGCTCGTGCAGTACCATAATGATTTCTTTTTCTGGTGCTGCTGCTAAATTTCATTATTACCTTTCGTCTTACAAAGAAGACAAAATAACAACCACTATTACAATGATTGGAAAAAGGTCCTAAAATCACATGGAAGGAACTTGTTTCACAATACGTCCAATCTCTTGGAATCATGCGGTTAGTTAAGAACAAAATACAATGGAAGCAAATGACCAATGGGGTAATACCAATTAGTTGGCATGAAGGCTTAATTCATGTCATTACACTTACATTATATCTCGTGTTTGCCAAAAATATTCTCAGTGTGAGATTTTTTTATCAATTTAGCGATATTTGTGAGATATAAAAAACCTTTAGTTTTTAGAATATCTAATTTGTATGAAAAGACAAATTAATGGGTAACTATATTGAAAAGTCCCAAATAGAGCATAGCTGATAAGAGGATTCATATTACCGACCCGAATTATTTTAGATTCGAAGTTTTTTTTTTGTTTTTTTTTTTTGAAATAGGTAACAGTATATTCATCAGTAGGAAATGCGGACACCATATTTACGAAATATCTAAGCACAAAAACTTGTTCATCTTACAAGGATTACTTGCTAAGACTAACTACAGAGATTCCAAAAAATCTAGTAAAGATCAGCGTCCTCTATAAGGTTTTCTTTACACCAGAAATATAAGGATACTACACAGTTCATCTTAATTCTCTCTGTAGAGCTGCTACTATTTTCAAAGCACCTTGCATTTCTCTCTTTCCACTAGATTCAAAGTATAGTTAATTGATTGTTTGATACTAGTTAGTAGACTGATTGACAACAAGGCACAAAAGCAAGCGTTGTTGCACATCCTCTTCTTTCTTTGAGAGTGCGTATTTTGGTTCATTTCTATCTACAATATCTGCTAAGTGTGAGCATGGACACCTAATAAGTACCTTATGATTTTTAAGTCAAGATTTCTTCCGGATTGATAATGTAACCAAATTATTCAGCACATATATCAAATTTGCTAATCACCTGTCCAAAGGGTCTTGACTGTTTTCTTGCCCATGTATGATGAGGTTGATATGCTCCCATTGCTATCTCTGTGTCTCTAGTGCCCTCCAGGGAGCGCTGGTTGATGTTTGCAGATCCCAATATCACATACTCATCATCCACAACCATCCCCTTAGAATGAACGTAAATCATGAATCTGCAGTTTTTTCGACTGAATGCCTGCAACAACATATTCAAACCATTAACTCTGTAACTGATCAATAATGTGCAGTGCACAGAACAGGAAGCCAGACAGTTTTACAACAAACAAAAGGAGGAAACTTAAAAGAAGAAATGACCACCTATTGCTATTTGTTTGTGTTTCAAACAAAGCCTCTCCACTAAAAAAAGGCAACAATCTTACAGCGAAGCAATTGGTAGAAGAAAAATAAATTTAATAAAATGAAAATAAAGAGAAACTTCCAGGAACAGGAAAGTGACAAAAATCAAAAGTTGCAAGTCTTCATATTCTATTGGAGAAGGAGAATGGAGGTCAATGCAAGTACCTGAGGAGTGTTTGCAGTGCCGGGACTCCCAGTTCCCCCAACATTACCAGCCTCACGGTTACCAAGACAGTAGAAATTCAAATAATCTTCTGGAGAGTATGCATCCTCAAGACCAACCTCCTCTAAAGCCTTGTAAATAGTCTCATACATCATTTGCATTGTCTTGTTCTGCAAACCAAAGTGGAAGACCTAAGGTTTCACTTGCACAACTTAATAACTTTTAACAATTAGAAGACAGTTGATTATTTGATAATTCAGCTGGTACACAGTTCGTCCTTCACAAAACACTTCAATCAGCTTAGAAAGATATGTTAGCATACTTAGTATGCCGCAAACCTCTCATGTGCTCTACCTGCCAATAAAGAATTCTCTGTGTAGCAGCCCCAGTTGGATTACCCTCTGGCCACATTGGGAGGACAATGTATACTGCAAACCTCTCATGTGCTCTGATTTTTTCGGCTATTTTTAGTGCAATTTCCATTGGAATCAGATTATTTGCACCTGCAGCACACAGAAAACTCAGTTATCTGAATTGCTTTGACAACCAGAAGAATAGCTTTATTACTTTCCAAGATATGTAGAACTGTTAAAAGATAAAATCATTTAGCCAAATAAAGATGCAGCATTAGCATTGGACGAGTGAATACCGTCACTCTCTTTAAATTTTTTCATAAATAAATGAAAGGTTAAAAATGTAAAATAATTAACAGGATTAGAAGTACCACAATGTTGTATTAAAAAGACCTTGGGAGCATGCCTTACGGCTAAGGACACCCCCCCCCCCCCAGACACACACAAAAAAAAAAGGAACATGACCTACGGCTATGATTAAAAAAAATCAGTTTCTTTCATCTGTAGAAGAATGCCTTTTCAAGTTTCCTTTCCAGAGTATATGCACTTCTCCGTCTTTTACAGTTATGCTTAAAATGCTAAGTTAAATCCTTATCTTTGACTTAGATATGGAAACACGTTCATCTATCTGATCTGACCTCATAAGTATAACAAGTTTTTGTCACTTCCAGAACTCCCTTATCCCACCCCTTCCCCGCCTCTAAAAATAAAGAAAACAAGCATACATAAGGATTAGGAAGAAGATGATAATTAACCATAAATTAGAGCTGGTTAGTGGTTATGTCAAACCCCAAGGACATAAGTTATCTATGTAATTCGTGCAGGTGTACTCATACGTAATACTGTACTGAGTCTAATTCAACAGCCAAAAAAAGAGATCTAGCAGATATGGACAGTTAGACACATCAGAATTAGTGTCCATAACCATCTGTCTGAACTCTGAAACATCAGGAAGAACTTGTGGAACATATGCATGAAACCTCTTTGTGGTGGGCCTAAGGGCCGGTTTCTTCCGCATAGAGAGCTGGCCCTCCCAAAGAATCCTGCATATGCAGTTGGTTGGTCTCCAAATTCAGGAATGAGCTTCACATTGGATCCATCAATGGTAAAGGGACCCTATAAATGCTGTTGCACTAGCAGCAAAGTAGGAGTATCCAGTCAAAGTTGCAAATAGGCCAAGAACGGTAAATTTTGTAAGTCTACTCCAACGAGATTTTCCATAAAAAGTAGCAAATTACAATTATTAACCTGCTTACTCAATGTGTATTGAGACATCAATAATACTTTGTACATAGCATGAAAATATCATCTTACCAATATCTTTATGTTGACTCCAATTGAATGAGGAACCAATAAAATATTGATTTTCAATGTAAATGAAATGTTGTGCAGCACGAATGGCCTTCACATATGCTGTGTGTATGCTCATGTCAATAAGTACATTTTTCCCACAGACCAGGTTCTGCAAGAAAAAGAAAAGAAACGAAAATTAGTATATACTTGGAATAAGTAAACGAGTATATGTTTTGGAGCAGACAAAGGATCTCCTCCCTGTCATTGCCCCTGCATCTTTCTTTCGCACCTTCATTGTAGCTTCTTTGGGATCCTTTGGAAAGCCTTTGACTGAATTTGAATCAATTGAACGAAAAATCTGGTTGATAATTGAAAAAGAATGTCACCACAAGATCAAATACAACACTCCAATTAAATTTCTATCTATCGATATTATGTTAATAACAACCTGTACATGCCAACCGTTAGGGTCATCGCCGCTCACAGATGGAGCATCAGAAATACCAAGAATTTCAGGCATTCTTTCAATTCGGAGCAAAGCATCATCATACGATGTCTTCAACTTTTTAATGCCATGAGGCTTTGAAGCCTTCAACCAGCGCTCCTCGAAGTTTGAGAGAACATCATATGCTGCAGGCCCATCAATTTTACTGTGCAGGTCATGCCATGGTTCTCTAGGACAACCAGCTACACTCCCCTGTTAAGTACATGAGATGGATTACTATCAAAGCAACACAAATAATTACATTGACTTCTTGGTGGAGAAAGGTAATTGTATGACAAGACCCTAGAGACATATCAAAGAAACACAACAAAATATTACTCCTCCCTCCAACTTATATAATGTAGTTTGACTTGGCACGGAATTTAAGAAATGAAGAGTTTTGGAAGTTGTGGATCTTAAACATGCCATATCATTTGTGTGGCTATAGAAGCTTCTCACTAAGCATAAAATGCGAAGCTTAAAGTAAAATTATTTCCAAATATAGAACTGTTTCATTCTTTTGGAACGGACTAATAAGAAAATAATGTCAGATAAAATGGAACAAGACTAACTCACATGACAAAAGTTTTCATCTGAAGATGTATATTTCTACTTTAAGATTGTGATTGTAAAGCCTAATGAAAAAGGTTGATACAGTTCACTCATGATAAATAGGTAAAATCTTTTCTCCTGCTACAATACTGAATGATGTAACTTGACTAGGGATAATTATTAAGGCAAGAAACCTAAATGTCAACTAAGGAAGATGTAGGAGGACAAAGTTCATTCTCTTCTTTTAGCCAAACCATGTACTTTTGTTCCAAAGGTTGAAAATGGTATAAGCTTGTTAACAATATTGATCTACATTTGTCTTCCAGTTTCAAATTCTACACCGTACTTCAACTAGACATGGTTATTAAGATGATGGTTGCAAATGTATATTGTCAACATTATTTCGAAATATGAAGGACGAACAGTCAGATCTGAAAGACGTCCTGTAATGGTTCTCATCAACTAACTGTGTAATATTGGAATTAAATTGGAGAAGAAAGTAAAGTAGTTCCTTACAGATATTATTTGGGGACATGAAAATAGGGGAACAATGATTTTCGCTTTGAAATCAGGAAATAGATTCTCAACTAGATGGGAACGGTGCAGGAAGCACAAATGACAATAACCTGCTCTCTGGTCATTTATCAGAATTTATATCAGCTCATATTCTACTAAGCTTTTGAAGAAGAGAGTTGCTGTTTGTAAACCTGAACTGCTTCAGTTTCACACTTATCATTAAAACAAAAAATAAAAGAGAACCAAAAGAATGGTGTTTCCAACTATAGTAGAAATGTACAGGCATTATTTTACACTAGCTGGGGTTGGCCAAGCTCAAAGATATAAAAGAAAGGTACTATGGATAGTCCGGGTAAGAGAATCCTAAAGAGCTTGAGAATAACCAAGTTTTACATATCATTTGACAAATCATAAATAGTTAGACACTGCAAGTAATCAGGGAATAATCATTGTGAAGAATTTCATACTTGCTAATATAACTACTCTATGTGGTGGAAAATCAGCAAATTAACAACAGTAATTAATGTCTATGAAAACAAGCTAAAGGACATTTAAGGATGAAAACAAGCAAAAGGATATTAAGGATGAAAAGTTACAGCATAAGTAGGGTTATGATAGTCATCAGAGTGCACTGTCTGCAGTGTTCGAAAGAGAGGATGCTCTGGTGTATCATATCGTCCATCACATAAATCAAGTCCTCCAACAAATGCTATGATTTTTCTTCGATTATTGCCAGCATCAGCATCCACTATTACCGTCTTCTGGTGATGTGTATAAATTACTCCAACTTCCTGCATACCAAACTCACAAGATAGGCTATGGAGTACAATAAAAAAGGGAAATTCAAATGAAGTAGTCTAGCAATATAACAGTATAATGTAAATTTTTTGTACTGAAGACATCATCAGATGTACCTTAGTGGCAACGACCTAAAGTTTTCAAATCTTTTGACATAGTGGTAAGAGGCATGCAATACAATAAAAAGTTAACAGGACTGTTTCACCCACATGTTAAAGGACTCTGGGCACACCTTGAATGATTGGCATCGGGACATGCCAGCAAGGAAACATAGCGGGAAAGACAGAAATCAATGCAGTCAAATGAGATTTAATGTCTGAACAAACTTTGCTTTGTCGGGGATCATTACTTAAATAGTCCTCACATAGAAAAGACAAACAGGGGGTTGATACTTGGAGAAACTAAAGCTCAGTAGAAACCTAATGGCAAAAGGAAGTTATCCCTCCACTGATCAAGGAAGCTAATTCAAAAATTATTTGCAAGTATAAAAAATTATATATGTATTAAAACAGAATGATGTTAAATGGCCAGAATCCCAAGATTTAGAATTCTTCCAGGGCTGCTGATATCTTGTAACTCTTTTTGATAACTGGTCATATAACTTATCCCATATAGAAACTACAGAAAGAAACGTCAAAATCTAACTTACCCTCTGCTTGACCCAACTGTGACGCTTCCCTGCCACTCGAGGACAAAGCAGCACTCTTACAGAAGAATGTTTAAAAAAACTACGAGTCTCTTCATCATGGGTTGCCATAACGCCATCCTGCAGTTCAAAATTAAGCATTCAAAACTAAATTAACATGAAGCCTTTGGGGATTATCTAAAACAGCTAACAAGAAGATGAAAACACAAAATGGTTAGAGCGCAACTATGTATTTGCTCTGCAGAAGAAATGCTAAAACAGAAATACATCATGAGTTGATCTCGGAGAACTAAGTGGATATCAAGATATGCATATGTCATAAGTATAACAGAACCATAAGCAATCTTGCACGTACGAGGCATGGATTCTTTCAGTTGTCTTAGTTGATGCACTAGTTTTCCAGGCTGAAAATGATAAATGTGCCCTTGACTGCAATTTAACTTGGCACTCACAGATTATGTAACTTAAAGCCAGTCACTGACTTACTTTATTAAATATACTGTCTATGAATGTATATATTGGTGTTTCACAGATTTAACGATTAGATTTCCGGGTAGAAGTGTTCAATAATTGAATAAACAACACAATATGTGCAGATGATGCATGCATGAGAATAGGTGTACAATGTCACATAATCTTTTCTCCAGACATTTCAAATGATCATTTGGAAAAATAAAAAGGGAAATATTAAATTTACATCTGAGGTATGCTGCTAATAACAACTTAAGACATTGAAATTTAATTTAAATCTTTAAATGATGCTTGAATATTCATTTTCTGCACATACAAATGAGAAGTTCACTAAATATATGTGTCATTTACCGTCTTATAGCCAAGGATGCTTCTTGATGTAGGGTCATCCCATACAAGAAGCAGCACTCTAACACCTTCTTGTGACTTTGACTTCAAAAGATCCCCTAGAGTGTAACTGTCAAGAGAAGCATCATCTCTAACAAGTCTGACTTTGTGCCATACTGACCAACCTGTAATGTAGATCAACCGTCGGGCTTGGCGTATGGCATTACAAATGTCACGCCAGCACTTTCCATGTACATATTGCATTCCAAAGTCAAGCATCAAATTTGGTAGGCTTCCATCAGGAACATGAGCATCTTGATACAGAGTAACTGTTCCACCCATCCTCAGTGGGAAGTAGGTTCCAGGAACTCCATAATACTCAGGACCAGCACCAACTCCATGATGGTAAACACTTAATTTATCAATTGGATAATATTGGACTGATATACTCAAAACAGCTCCAGCCTTGCAAGGTCGTCCGCTACTGTTTAGGATCGGAAAGGACCCCTCTATTTTACCCCCTCCATATATCTGTTCTAGTGGGACAGCCACTGTCCCCATAAGCTGAGAACCTACTATATCATCGTCCTTGACAAGAAATTGTACCTCGGCAGCATAGTGTGCAACAGGGACATTAAAATGTTGCATCCACACGGGATTTTCATTATTGCTTATGACATAAGTCCTGCCAATCACTGCATCAGCTACAGTAATTGAGACGTACGGATCACTTGTGATCTTATTACTCATTTGCCCAAACATATCCCCAATGGTTTTGTGGAACATGTCCATGTTCGGGAGATTTTTTGCTTCGTACACCCAAATATCCAGATTACCGTGTAAGAGCAAAACTTTTAAGTTTTTTTTAGAAGGCGAGAATGGCACAACCTGCATAGCCTGAGTATTCTGTGGTTCAGCACAAGAAGTTGGATAGGTTGGTTTTGGAGACTCCGATCCCCAACTTGAAAAGGAATTAGGTTGGCCATAGATAGTCCCTTGAGCATTGTAGTTTGAGGAAACAGGGTTTGGCCCCAAGTGATATGATGCCGATGCCGGAGCAGGAGGAGAAGCAGGGGCAGAAGGGTGATTTTCAGACAAATTCACCTTTGCTAAGAGATCATGGATTGGTGGATAAGCTGAAGGGCGAGTGGAGGAGTCATCTCTACCATGATCATAGCTTGCCCCAGAATTACTAACAGATGAAACACTATCTTGGCGTTGGAGAGAGTCGTGAACTTTGGATGGTTGGCTCTCCAAAGGCCTTTCTGGCCAGGAATGTGGATAATGCTGAGGTGCAGCATATTGAAAACTGCCTTGCTGTTCAAGAGCAGGCATAGGAGAAGATGTTGCAGGAGGCGGGTATGCGTGAGGTGGATAGGCAGGAGCAACACCATGTAGTGGTGGAGGATAACCATAGTCTAAAGAACTGGAGTGGTGGCGAGCGGGCGCTGGAGGTGCTGTTGGAGCTGGTGGATAGGGATGATAGTTATAGTAGTGACCAGAATGTTGAGTGTTGTAAGGGGGAGGATAATGAGGGGACTGATGAGGATACAAGTATGGACCAGAACCAGGAGGAGGATATGCACCAGAACTGGGAGTGGGGTAGGGTTGATTTGAAGGTGGTGGAACATGAGGAGGGTACCCATAACCAGTGTTATATGGGTATGAAGGTGAAGAATTATTATACTGATCCATTAATATACACTACCAGATTACACTATTTTTAATTCTTTCGTGTACATTAACATACAAACTGATCAAAACCTAACCAACAAATCAAAAGGGTCTGTCCAAGATCTTGAATTTTACCCAATTCAACAGCCCATAAAAAGAAACAAGCTTCCTTTCCCTACTGGAGAAAAAAAAAAGGGGGGGGGGGGGGATTAAATTGCAAAAGAAAGATATTCTAAAGGAAATATATCAAATTGATCGTCTGAAAGTAGAAGATATCAATGAGGTTCTTGAATCTAGAAATTTATTCATAATCAGCAAGGTAAAATGCAAAAGATCAAGAAAAGAAAGTACCTTACACAGGGTTATTGACTAAATTACTAAAAAGAGAAAGAAGATCATAGAAAGTAGCAGGATCAGGTAAAAAGGAGCCTGGAGCTTTCCAAAAGGACAACAATTGAACTTTGTCGACGCGTTTAAGGTAGACTTTACTGCTTCGGAGAAAATGAAGAATGACGGCGTTCAGGGCGAGTGCCGTTATCTTGACAGAACTAGAAAGCTAATTTGACGGTGACGGACTTTTCTGCTGAAGTTCATTCACTTAACGGCGTCCATTTCCCAAACTTTTCTTTGTTGATTCATACAAGAAAGAATTACAAAAAGATAAAATAAAAATCAATGAAATCAGAATTTTTTATGAGTTTCATTTTGGACGGCATAAAAATCTTTAGATTGTCTTCTAATGCGTCACTTGCTCAAGAATCTGGTAAACAACTGCAACTTAGAGCCCGTTTGGCTTAGCTGATTTAGAGTAGCTGATAAGCATTAGGTGTTAAAAAGTACTTTTAAGTGCTGAAGCTGATTTAAAAAATAAGCAGTTACGTGTTTGGATAAAAGTGCTGAAATTAATAATGTGTAGCTAAAGAACCGGGTATACGAAGAGTTTTGTTTTAAAAAAAAGTATTTTAGGGATAGAATAGTAAATATTTTGGTCAAACTTAAACTGCTTATAAGCTGAAATTTGATAAGTTGGGGGAGACCAACTTATGGCTTTTGGCTTATTTTTGGCTTATAAGCACTTGACTTATAAGCACTTTTAATTTTACCAAACGCGTAGATAACCCAAAAAGTGCTTATAAGCAAGTTTGACCAGCTTATAAGCTTAGCCAAACACCCTCTTACTCACTTATTTGTATTTTTAGTTAGTGCCAGATAGGGGTGTTCGTCGGTCTATAGGGTACGGTATTTAGACATTTCGGTTCGGTATTCGGTTTCTTAAAATCCTATACCAATACTGTACCTAATTAAATTCGGTATGGTTCGGTTTTTCTCCTTTCGGTATCGGTTTATTCGGTTCAGTAACTTCGGTTTATTAAGTTTGAATGCTAACTAGTGCATAGAGTCATACACTCTAATATTCCTAATTAAAGTACTCAAAAATACAAACTGAAAATGTTTGTTGACAAAAATTTTGTCCAAAACTAGCAAATATCAACCAAAATAGAGAAAATTGTACATAAAAGAATATTTGATCACTAGAAATGTCTTGTTACTTGTTTAGAGTTAATTGATGAACTTTGAGAATAAAGGAAAGTAAAATTTTAGATTTTTTATATTTATGTTATAATTGATAATATGTGTTTTGTGTAATATAATATCTATTTCGGTATGGTATCAGTATTTCAGTATTTTATTTTAAAATACCATACCTAATACCAATATTTTAAAAAACTTAAACCAAATACCATACCAAATACCAAAATACCGTATACCAAATACCAAAATTTTTGGTTTCGGTACGGTAATTCGGTATTTACCAAATTATGCCCAGCTCTAGTGCCAGATATAGTTGCCCATTTATAATTTGTTTATTACGTCTTTGATCTCAATAAATTTTTAAAAGCTCACTACTAGAAATCCGCTAAAAACGATCAAGCCATACCGATCAACGTTGGTCGGTCAAAAAAAACGACCAAAAAACCGTTCAACATGGACAGAAACTACAAAAAGATATTTTACATTTTTTTAAAATTACATACCGACCAAAGTTGGTCGGTAAATTGGTTAAAAAGTTGACCGAGCTGGTCAGACTTACTTAGTCAAAGCAACTTTTTGATTACCGACCAACTTTGATCGGTAATGTGGACCCAACTTTTTAAATTTTAATAATTATTACTATTTAAAATGTTTAATAAAATTTAAAGAATTTATATTTAAGATTACCGACCAAAGTTGGTCGGTTAATGCAGGGGAAGCATTTACCGGCCAACTTTGTTCGGTATATTTTATTTCTTGAAAAATAACCGACCAAAGTTGATTGGTTATTAGGTCAACATTGGTCAAACTTTTGAATCACTTTAATATTTACTATCTAAATAATATAAATGTAATCCGTTAACACTTTATTTTGTAATACAAATAATGAATACACTAACATATACTATAACAAGCTATATATAGTTAAAGTAGTACAACGAAGTATGTGTGTGTGTGTGTATAAAGGTATAGCCGCATATATATAAGAACACGAAGCGCTAGGATCATGGGGTCGGGTTCTTTTGGGGATAGACTTGCGAAGAAGCAATAATCTAATTAGTATATATAATTGATCATCATCAAATATATCTATTTGTAAATTGATTCATCAACTTATAACTTACTTAGATGCATTAAAATGTTTAATAAAATTTAAAGAATTTATATTTAAGATTACCGACCAAAGTTGGTCGGTTAATGCAGGGGAAGCATTTACCGGCCAACTTTGTTCGGTATATTTTATTTCTTGAAAAATAACCGACCAAAGTTGATTGGTTATTAGGTCAACATTGGTCNATATATATATATATATATATATATATATATATATATATATATATATATATATATATATATATATATATATATATATATATATATATATATATATATGAACAGGCGCTAGGATCATAGGGTCGGGTTCTTTTGGGGATAGACTTGCGAAGAAGCAATAATCTAATTAGTATATATAATTGATCATCATCAAATATNCTAATTAATATATATAATTTATCATCAAATATATCTATTTGTAAATTGATTCATCAACTTATAACTTACTTAGATGCATCGTGAATATTAAAAATAAAACATTTTGACCTATCGATTAATGTTAAAACCAAAACGTCTCGACCTATATCGATTAATCTATGTCATGCATTATTAGTGATGAATGAATGAAAAAATAGAAGAATTAATACTAAACATCTTTGACATATATATATATATATATATATATATATATATATATATGTATATATATATATATATATGGATCACATATTAAAGAAACGAAAGACGTTATTAGCATTAAATAAACGAGTTAATAGGTCAAACATGGTAAAAATTTTAATTTGAATCACATTAATATTTATTATCTAAATAATATAAGTGTAATTTGTTAACACTTTTGTAATACAAATAATGAATACACTGACATATACTATAACATGCTATATATGTAGTAAAAGTAGTACAACGAAGCGTGTATATATACACACACACACACTAACATATACTATAACAAGCTATATATAGTTAAAGTAGTACAACGAAGTGTGTCAGTGTGTGTGTGTGTGTGTGTGTGTGTGTATAGGTATAGCCGTATATATAAGAACACGAAGTGCTAGAACCGCTGGGTCGGGTTCTTACAGGGATAGACTTGTGAAGAAGCAATAATCTAATTAGTATATATAATTTATCATCATCAAATATATCTATTTGTAAATTGATTCATCGACTTATAACTTACTTAGATGCACCGATGAATATTAAAAACAAAACGTTTTGACCTATATCGATTAATATTAAAAACAAAACGTCTCAACCTATATCGATTAATCTATGTCATGCATTATTAGTGATGAACGAATGAAAAATAGAAGAATTAATATTAAACATCTTTAACATGTATATATATATGGATCACAAATAAAAGAAACGAAAGAAGTTATTAGCATTAAGTAAACGAGTTAATAGGTCAAATTAACGACTAAACATATTTAAAATAGAATAATATTGGTTTATCAACTGATAAAATTTTCGTACGTAGTAATGTATGCGATTGATCGTCAATTACAACATGGTGCATGTGTGTGTGTGTGCACGTTTGTGTGTGTGTGAAATTACTCATATACTTAATTATAACTTAAAAGTTTTACTTAGATAGATGTTATTATAATTTATTAAAAGTAATTAGTTAATATAATTATTTATAAAGATTATGCTTATAGTTTATAATAATTTATAATAATTGTATAGTTAAATAAAATAAATCCTTATAGTTTATAATATTTTAAGAAATAAAAACACACAAAAAAAATTAGTTCATTTTTAGATAACCGACCAAGGTTGGTTGGTTTATAGTCAAATGGTCAACACTTAATGTACCGGCCAAAATTATCGGCCAACTTTGGTCGGTAATTCTAAATTAGATTTGAAATATACGGGATTCCCCCTCATTTCTCTTACATCTCTTCTCCAAATTTTCATACTCCTCACTCAATGCCTTCCCCTCTCCTTCTCTATTTCCCTCACACAAATCTCATTCCCCACCCCGCGCCACCGCTGCCCAACTGCCATCGTCGCCGTCGCCGCTGCTAGCCACTTGTAACGACCCGGCCGGTCGTTTTGGAAATTACGCCCCGATCCCCTATTAAGTGCTTTCCCCAAGTTTATTTCTGCTATTCTGAATTGCCGGGATGTTCGATTTTGAGTTTCTGAGAGTTTTTGGACACTTAGTCCCTAAATGAGAGCTTAAGTGTTGGAAAGTTGACCGTATTCGGAACAGTGTGAAGACGGTCTCGGAACGGAAATCCGATGGTTCCGTTAGCTTCGTTAGGTGATTTCGGATTTAGGGGCGTGGTCGGATTGTATTTTGGGGGCCCGTAGCTAATTTAGGATTGAAATGCCGAAAGGTCGAATTTTGAAGTTTCCGATTCGATAGTGAGATTTTGATCCGAGGGTCAGAATGGAATTCCGGAAGTTGCAGTAGTTCCGTCGTGTCATTTGGGATGTGTGTGTAAAATTTCAGGTCATTCGGGCATGGTTTGGTTAGGTTTTTGATCGAAAGCGTATTTTGAGGAAATTTGGAGATCTTAGGCCTAAATCCATGATTAATTCGAGTTTCCGATGTTGTTTTAGGTGGTTTAAGGATTGGTACAAGTTTGAATGAGGTATTAGGTGTTATTGGTGCTTTTGGTTGAGGTCCCGGGGGTCTCGAGATGAATTCGGAAAGATTTTTGAAGTTAGAGATTTCAGAAAAATTGCTGGCGTCTGTCATAACCGCACCTGCGGTTTGGGTTCCGCAGGTGCGGGCCAGCAGAAGCGGCAAGGCAAGCGCAGATGCGGATTTGGGTGTTCCTTCAGGTTCCGCAGATGCGGAAGTTTCACCGCAGAAGCGGTTTCGCATCTGCGAAAGAAGTACCGCAGATGCGGCTCCTGGGCTTTTTAATGAAAATCGCAGATGCGACATTTTGGTCTGCAAAAGCGGTACCGCAGAT